TTTGGGGTTAATTTTGATGATCACAATCATTCCAAGATTTCCTACCACACTGAAGCTGTAGATGGCTAGATACACCAGGAAGAGGGGAACCTGTGGTTCCGGGTAATCTGAGAAGCCCAACAGGGTGAATATAGCCCCAGCAGTTGCATTTCTCCCTTCCAGAACCATATTTCTTTATGGTAGGATCTGAAAATCAGACCTGGAATTATATATTATGGAGAATGATTAATGCATGAAGCATGCTTAATTCTCTCCTGTGTAGAGTGTGAGGTAAAACAAAATAATCTGGGTTAAATCTCGATAGGTGTTAAGGATCCAGGAATATCTAAAGTTGCATACAATGTTTAATAGTTAATGTTACTTTCTCAAAAATTTAGAAATTCTGTTCTTGTTCTTAAATATCATTTTAAAACCTTCAATTGTAGTAGTTATGAACTTGAGTGATTTAGATGGTAGTATGTAATCAAATCCTCATGTAAGACATTCTAAACACATTGAGTTCTTAAATTTTCAAGGAAACATCTAGAAAAGTGAAATAATGTTTTATTGATGATACAATTACTCATGACAACTGGAAGCATGTGAAATAACTTCTATAATTAGAGTTAATTTCTGTATAAACATATCTGCATGTATTGTGACATAAAGAAAAATTAGTATACGTTCTTATGCCCATATTTTAAATATGAGTCTAGCACTTTAATCATCATTCCTCTTTTGACAAAATATGTCCGATATCAAAGTAACTAATGACTTACATTTTATTAAAGAATGTCTATTGAATTGAACTGCTCTTCTCTAAGATGAGCACAGAGAAAGCTGTAAATGTCATGACTTGTCTAATGACTTATAGATCTTAGATAATCAATCTACAACCAGAACCCATAGTCTTACATTTCTAATCATGTACCCCTCTCTCTAGGCCAGGTTTTGATCCATATTACAGTTTTACATATTAACATTTTTATTTTGAAAAAAACACATTTTCATACTTCCTTGCTAATTCTTTTGACTGCATTAAAGACAGACTTCATACTATGAAACTATGGGAACTAGTCCAGAGAATGTGCTGAGGGCCACAGTGATGCTCTGAAGATCTGTGACAAGTTGACACATAGAAAATAAGAGAAACATCCCTGTTAAGGAATGATTATGGTAAGTACCCTTAAGCACTGAGAAAGACATATCCCTTCTCTAGGCCTCTCTCTTCTCTCCCTGGAAGGACCCTATAAGATTCATACATTTCTCTATTACATGTCAAGAATACGGATGAGAATTAAGATATCTACATACTCTGAAGACATTTATGATAAAGAAGCTTATAAAAAAGGGAAAATGTGGGATTTCTCAAATTGGTATCCAAGTAAGACCCCAGGTAAATTTGAACTTCAGAGAGATAATGAATTTTTGCTATAAGTATGTTCAAAATATTGTACTCATACTAAAGAAATATTTATTGTTTATCTGGAGTTCATATCAAATTCAGTGTTCTGTATTTTCATTTCCTAAATATGTCAACACCTATCTAGAAGAACTCAGAATATTATGGTAATCATCATATCCCAGTTCACCTAGAACTTTCCTTTTTATAGTACTGTATAGGTCACACATTCCAGAAATTTTCTCCATTATATTCCCTTATAGGGACTATGTCTTTTGCAGACTAATATTTCCAATAAGATCATCTCAGGTTCTGCAACCTTAGAATCAGATGGTTCTAGATATTCCAGCACCAAAGGTTTCAGGTCCCATAAGACACTGGCAACTCTTGATGGCCCTATATGTTCAGATACCTAAGGATTTACAGATCCATCAGAAGGTAATCTTTTTCGGTCAACTCTCACTAATATAAAATTCTTTCTTAATGTCCTTTTACACAGTTTCTCAACCTCAGCACATTTGATATTTTGTGCTGATTAGTCTTTGTTTTGGGGAGCTATGCTATGCATCGTATCCTGTATAGAAGCATCTATAACCTCTAGCTGCTAGATAACAGTATCACCTGCACCCATATTCCCTCTACAGTGACCATCAAAAGTGTTTCCCGACATTGTCAAATGTCCCCTTGGGGATATGGGGCAGTGTGAGATTGCATAATCGCCAGTATTTGAGAACTACTGCTTTATTTCCTTCATTCTGGCAGATTTTCATGTTTGTTCTGTTTTTCCTAAAACTAAAGTACAATTAAATGTCGTGGTTCCTTATCTCTCGAATTTTCACTATCTTTGAATCTTGGAAACGCTAATCTGAAGAAATCAGCTAAGCCTGGCCCTCTACAAAAAACTCTATAGAAACTACATACTTCCAGTTCTAGATAACATTCTCAGGAGTTCAAAATTTCCTGAAAATGATTTTTCCTATGAAAAAACTGACTGAACTAAGGACATTTTCTAGATATCTTTCATGAAAAAGAATATCCACATGTTCTCAGATCTGCAAACGAATCTGCTAGTAGAAAAGCAGCCTCCTCCTGACTCTGGAGAACTGGCTTGAGGCAGATGTTAAGACTTTTATATCCACTTCCACTCCCTGTGCCTATTTCAACAGTGGCTTCAAAACAAGCAGTTCAAATTAATTATTGCTTACTGATGCAGTTCTTGTTTTTTGGAAACCCTGAAGGAAAAGCAATCACAGCTTTAGAAACAATTTATATGAAAGTCACCAAAAGTTTAAATGTCTGCTTCCCATGCTTCATGACCATTCTTGTAGTCTCCAAAACTTTTTGAATAATAAGCCATAGGACAGTTTTTGTTTTTTACTCAACTATTTCTCTTTTTAAGTACATGTTTTTATTCTTTTAAAATTAATTTGGTAGATTTATTGAGGTCTAATTAACCAATAAAAATTTTATATATTTAAGGTGTTTCAGTATACAAATACATTGTGAAAAAAAGTCCAATTGATCTAATTAACATATCCATCACTTCACATAGATACCATTTTCCTTTTTTTTTTTTTTTAAGTTGGGAACACTTGATGTTTTGCTCTCTTAGCAAGTATACAAAACAATGTTGTTAACTACGGTCATATTGCTATACATTTTTCCTTCAAGATTTATTTATTTTACCTAATTGGACTTTGTACGCCAAGAATTACATCACCACTTTTCCCCCCTCCTCCAGCCCCTGCAACCACATTCTACTCTCTGCTTCTGTGTCTCTGACTATTGTAGATCACACCTAAAAGGAACATCATGTAGTATTTGTCTTTCAACAAATATTTATTAAGTTTCTACCATGTCCCTGGTCCACATGAGGCATAATTGCCCAATGATTATACTAACCACACTAAGGAAGTGGAAAGATTCTGCCTTCAGGGCCTTCAGCTATTGCATTGTGATCCAACCAAGGGCATTTGGCACAGAGCATCCCCTTATATACACTATGCTCCAACATCAAGTATAATGGCTGATTCCTGGTGTTAATAATCAATAAATTAACACCTATTACCTATCCACTTTTCTCTCTTTCAGGCTTCCAAAATCTAAAACTTTATCTATTACATCCATCCCACAACATGGGACAATTTTGAGTGAATTCACAATTCTTGAAGGTCAACATAGTGTTCTAGGTTCGTGTGGTAAGCCCAACCTGTATACCATTTATTCACCATATTTATTTATTCAACCATCGAATAAAAAGGAAAATAAAAATAACTTGCAATATGCCAGTGACAGTGAAAGAGAAAAGGGTAAATAACCCTAGTCTTCAAAGACTTCATTTAAACACACATTAACTGAGTACTCTCCTGGTCTAAGTGAGCACACATATGTTGTCAAAATTTAATTTCAATATAATGTTGAGAGATTATCAATATTGGCCAATTGTTAAAATTGAAGAAACTAAGAAATAAAAAACTTTAAATTACATATCAAATGAAAAAATCAGTCAATTCACCAAACCTGTTTTTCATAAACTCAAATGTAGAGTTGCTGACATTTTTATAGCTACAAGGAGAGAAGCTTTACTGAACAAGTGAATGTGATATGGAAATTGGCATAAACACAATGAAAGTACAAATAAGTTATCAATGGTGCATATGACACAGGATGGAGTAAAGAAATGTGGTTTACACACACAGAGGAAGAATGAAAAACAGGCCATTTCATCAAGAGCAAAAACACAAAAAAAGAATATAAACAGAGGCTGGAAGACCACCTATATGTCACAGTAAGCATTTGATCCACAAATTATAAAATAAGCATGCTGATAAAAAGGAAGAGATGAAGTGGGGAAAAAGACCAAAGTCAGAAATGCTGCCTCCATAGCACTAGTTATTAAATGTATATATACATAATATATATTATATATATACTATACATATATACACACAAACACACAGAGAGACAGAAAGACAGAACTACACAAGAGACAGAAATAGAGAACTAATTAAGGGCCATGAATTATCCTAAGTTCTGTGCACATGACATGTAATTTAGTATTCCCAAAATTTCTGTGAAATAATTTTTATTAATGTCTCCATTTTTCAGATATAATAGTATGTGAAGTTACAAAGACACTAAACATCACGATAACAAAAAGTAAAAAATAATAAAGAAAGCAGGAAATGAACAACCAGCAAGATATATACATACACAGGAATCTCATTCTGTGAAGAAGTTGGCAAAAGAGTGTTCTTTATTGTTAAATAAGGGGAATTCAATTTCAAAATGAATCATAGTTTCCATAATGGACTAGAAAGTGTGATCGTCCTGAGTTCTTTATTAAGTTTATGAAGGTTTTACAGCAATCTAAATGTGTGTGTTTTCACAGTCCATTATTCATACCCAATCAAAACATTTCAGTTGAATAAAATTAAAGTGATAGGCTTCACATTTGAAATATGCTCAATCTTACTCTGTCAATTGTAGAGACAAAAAAATAACTGAATCAAAACAACTCACTCATAAAGACCTACCTCCTGGCTGGTCTCTCTACTCCAACACTGCGGCCAACCCATTCACCTCTTCCCCAGACTCCACTTTGGGCCCCCGAGTCATGCTAAGAAAATATTCTCTGGGAAAATATGTTGGAGCTCAACACTTTTCTAAAAGCCTCCTTCACATCTTTGTTCCTCAAGCCGTAGATCAGAGGGTTCAGCATAGGGATCACCACAGTGTAGAGTACTGTGGCCACCTTGTCTGTATTCTCACTGTTGCCCACATTGGGCCGGCAATAAATGAAAAGGATTGTTCCCTGTAAGACGATGATGGCTGTGAGGTGGGAGGCACAGGTGGAAAAGGCTTTGCGCCTCCTCTCTGCAGAGCGCATCCTCAGGATGGTGATGAGAATAAACAAATAGGAGGTGAGAATGATCATGATGGTGATGAGCTCATTGAAAGTGGCCACAATGTATAGCATCAGTTCATTCAGAGTGACATCAGAGCAAGCAAGAGATAAGAGAGGGGGCAGATCACAAAAGAAGTGGTTTATCACATTTGACTTATAGGATGTGATCTCAAGCGCTAAACACAAGTGAATAAGAGAACATACAGTCCCATAGAGGTAGCAGCTAGACACCAACACCACCCGCAGTTTCTGGGACATGGTGACCAGGTAGAGCAATGGGCTACAGATGGCCAAGAAGCGATCATAGGCCATCACAGCCAGCAGGAAGACATCGGTGATGACACATGTACAAAACAAGTAGAACTGTAGCATACATGCAAGGAAGGAGATGGTTTTATCCTTGTTTAAGATATTGAACAGCATCTTTGGCACAATGGTTGTAGAATAGCAAAAATCCACAAAGGACAGGTGGCTGAGGAAAAAGTACATGGGAGTGTGGAGTCGAGAGCTGACCTGAATCAGGACAACCATACCCAGGTTGGCCAAAACCGTGACCCCATAGATCAGAAGGAACAGCAGGGAGAGAAAGACTCTCAGCTCAGGGACATCTGATAATCCAGCAAGCATGAACTCGGTCACAATGGTACAATTCTCCTCCCCCATTTCCACCATATATCAGGTTTGGAAACCAAATGATAAGTTCTGTGTTTCTTCTGAAACGAGAATAAGAAAGAAAATGCACCTTTATATAAACTTAAGAAAAATATATCATTAATGTCAAACAGTATATGTAATTGCAATGTAATGATTCAAGATGTTCAATGTTTCAGCAGATCCTACTGATCAAAATTAATCTAAATATCAGAGGAAATCTATGATTCCCAACTGTTATCTACGATAAATTGAGTTGAGGAATGAAATTAGGTGTTTTGATGGACTTTGGAATAGATTCAAGTTTATACAGTAAAATCATTAGAGATCATCTCCTGTTCCCTGAAAAGTGTAATAAGTTCTGTCCAAGTAGGATAACACTGATTGTGACGCTATACAATATACACTGGTTTTTTTGTTTTTTGTTTTTTTTAATTCTATTGGTAGCATAAATTTGCAACATGTGAAGTCACATACAATTTCCTCATTAGGGAGTATGACAAATTTCTTTGAAATTGGTGGCTCATGAGGACTCTTTAAATTTGGAATTAGGCAGAATGAAAAAAGGTATTTAAAATATATTCTCAATTTCATCATACTTTTAATTATCAAATTAATAAAGCAATTTAATTAGTTATAATGATAGTGACCAATATCAATAATGACCCAGAAATATATAAATCTTGTATAAACCTTTTTGGAGAGCAATTAGGCAACATATAGCCAAAGTCTTAATACTGATAACAATAAAAGCTATCTGATACTTTTTACAAGAGATTTTAATCTTAGGAAGCTGTTATAGGAAATGTTTACATTTAAAATTGTGAAAACTATATCCGAAGCTACATTGCACATTGCTTATAATATTTACAATTGGAAAAATTAATTCTCAAAAATAGAGCAATTGTTAAACTATATACCATATCTAAAGTAGAAAGTTATCACATTATTTGAAATGATGTTTTGAAGATGGTTATTTTTTAAAAATACCTAGCACCCCTGGTGTGTATATGTTGGTTTAAATAAAATGTTGAGGGTAAATACAGATGACAGAAATATCATTTTACCACTTTTATTTGGCTACAACTCTAGAAAGATAAATCCTTTATCCATATTGAAAATGAGGTAAGTGAAAACTTTCCCAGGTTTTCTCGGGTAGTTGTTTGGGGGCGGTGGTTTCATTGTATGTTGTATATAAGTGAGATCTACCATTCAGGCCTGTTCCTAAAGAAAAGGCATATGGAGGTTGAGAAATTTTATTCTCTGCCTAGTCTCCTAGACAGGAGGAGTATACGCATGACGTGACACAATATATATAGCAATGAGATTTTAGACTGGAAATGTAAGCTGGTATTTTCTCCATGTATTGAGCCAATTTTAAAGAAGTGGAAAAAAATCACCTTCCTGAAGTCATGGTTTTCTCATTACCTGACTAGGAAAGAAAATAAACGTGAATTATTTTCCCACTTCAGAGTTAAAACAGGAAAATCAACTTGGAAAATTATCTTCCTAAAGTTTTAGGCTAACAATAAGAAATCAATTTATGACAAATCCAAAACAAATATTAAGAAAATTCACCTCCTCTACTGAGCATAAATAATTCACTTTTCCTGACTTTCCATCTCTCCATCACCATATCTCAGGTACATAAATCTAACCCTCAGAATTAGGGTGACAATTAGGGAGCACGTCCATGGTCATAATTTGTAGATGCCATGACAAAATTGTTGTGGAGAAAGACAGAGAGAGTGAGAGAGAGAGAGAAACAGAGACAGAGACAGAGACAGAGAGAGGACTGGGCTATAATTTTTCATATTCTTTCATATATATCATAGTTCGATGTTGCAGAGGAAATTGTTCTAATTTTACCAAAAGTACCTCTCAATATTAAAGACAACAAATTTAAAACAATAAGGGCACAGGAATATAGTTTTTGTTAACACATTCTCTAATAGGAGAGAGAGGAATTAGCTATATCTTTTCAATTATTGCTTGCTGGACAAAGATGTCCATTTCCTTTTCAAGTAACCAGAGCCTGGTTCTAGCTAACAAACCTGAAGAACAGACATTTCCTCCCAAGTGCTGAAGACATTAGGACCAGTACCGTTAGAGACTTATACTGTAATTTAAGCCCCGGGGGAATGGGTCTCTCAAGTTCCAAATCAATCGTTAAACCCTAATAATATAAAAACAAGTTAAATTAAACTAATACTACAAAGGAAGAAAACACAGATAATAATTACTCTCTGTGGAATATCATCACAAACATTTTTTAAATACCCTAAATTGTGAAAGAGTTCTTTAAAACCACACATGCTTTCTTCCTGCTTTTGTGATGCCATATGACATTTCATCCTAGCGTCAGATATGTGGGTCTCAGCTCAAATCACTGTCATGAAATAACACAAATATGTCTTAAGACTTCTAGATCAAATTATGTCTATTTTATGGATCTTTCCCAAATTCAAATGCATTGATTTGCTGTATTGTTTTTCATCACAGTATTATTAAATTATGCTCTAGTCTTTATTTTAGATTTATTTTCAATTTGTTTTTATTATTTTTGTTTGGTTTTAGTTCATCATTTTTTTCCTAGTTTCTAATGAGGAAGCTAAATTAAAAGTTTTGAACTTTTTCTTCCTTTTTTTCTTTTTTTTTTAAATCTCTAAATTTCCCTCTGAACACTTTAGAAGCATCTTGTAAACTGTTATTGACTGTGTTTTTATTTTTATTCAGTTCAAAATACTGTATAATTTCTCTCGTGCTTTCTTCTTTGATCTTCGGCTTCTTTAAAAGTGTGTTGTTTAATATTGAGAATTCAGTCTGTATTTATTTTGGTTACAAATCCTTTATCAGACTTGCGCTTACCTTTTTTCTTCTACATCAGTTGTTCTAACGTAGACTTGATTTTATCCCTAATTCCACACACCGCCCTCCCCCCAAACAAATACACAGGGGACATTTAAAGATGCCCTAGCATGGAATGTTTTTTGATATCACAACTACAAGGTAATGCTCTGGCATCTAGTGTGTAGAGGCCATGGATACTGCTAAACAGCCTGTAATGCACAGGCTAGTGACCCATGACAAAAATTATCCAATACAGAATGTTTATAGTGTTGAGGGTAGAAGGCCCTGCTCGATATTCAGTTGACCCTTGAAGAACATGGGTTTGTACTACACAGGTCAACTTATAAATAGATTTTTTTTTTTTCAATGAATACCTGTACTGTTTTTAAACCTCAGTTGGAAGTGGATGTGAAGGGCTGACTCTCTGCATTGATATATGCCATTTTATATAGGGAACTTGAGCATCTGTGGATTTGGTACCCATGGGTGTCCTGAAACTAGCAGTTACCAATAGTAGTTAAGTTTTGGGGAAGTCAAATGTTATATGCAATTTTTGACTGAATGGGTGTCAGACCACTGACCTCTATGTTGTTCAAGGTCAACTGTATAATGGTTCTTAAATAGTCAATATTTTCTCTTTTACTTTCCTTCTGGGTGTGTGCGTGTGTATTTCATTCTCTGAGCTTCTTGGATCTGCATTTTGTGTCTTCCATTAATTTCAGAATATTTGTAACCAGTACATTTACAGGTATTTTCTCCATCCTGAGCTACTTCTCTTTTATTTGTGAGTTTCAAAATGATAGTTATTTTTACTATTTGATATTGTTATCTAGCTCTTGTGTATTTTCTTTGTTTTTATTCACTGTTTCTTTTTCTTTTTGTATATATTTTTTTATTTTCTATTGATCTATATTTAATTTTACTAATTCTTTAATCTTTAATCTTACTAATTCTCTTCCTTGTTGAGTCTACTATTTGCCTCTTAAAAATATTCTTTATCTCAGTTGTTTTTCCAGCACTTTTATTTCATTCAGGTTCTGTGAGTTTGCTGAAATCCCTGATTGTCTACCTTGTCCCCTAGAGCACATAAGAATCATATATATTTTAGATTTCCTGTCTGCTATTTCTAATGTCTATGACATATTTTGATCTAGTTCTGTTAATATCATTCTCTTTTTATAGTGGATTTTTCTTCTGTTTCTTTGTATGCCATATATTTTTTTTAATTTTGCTTAGACATTTATATGATTTATGAAGTGATCCCCCCAATTACTCTAGATCTTCACACAACCATTACAAAATATTGACTATATACCCTGTGCTATACTCTAAATCTCCATGGTTGTTTAGTAACTACTAATTTGTACTTCATCCTCTCTTCACATTTTTAACCCATATAATTTTTTTAAGAATGGATATCATTTATTGAACAATAGAGACTGAAGTAAATGGTACCTAATTTTTTTTTTTAGGTGAGGTAACTCTTGGTTGACTTCACAGATTACAAGGACCTTGTCAGCTTACAATCCCTTATTTTTTATTTTTTTATGTATACAGCATCTGATCTTCCTAGGTGGTCTCCCATCCATGTCTACCCAGGCCCGACCCTCCTTAGGTCCAAGATCAGACAAGATCAGGCTTGTTCAGTGTAGCATGGCCATAGACTGAAATAAATGGTATCTTGCCTGGAAATTAATCCACTCCTTTTGCTGGATATTAAATATGGAACTTGAACTGAGCTTCATTTTTGTTGCTACTATGGCTACCTCAGTGCACCACAGAGTTCACATTCCTCTAGCGTGACCTTATATTTAGGATGAGGGTTGGCTTGGCAGATATTTTCAATGTCTAATCCACCTTAAGCTTTAAATCTGCCCTTTGTACATGTAACCTAGAAAGAGGACCTCTCACTTGATTCTCCCGCTACACTAGCAGTGGAATGCTATTACTGGTAACACCATGTCTGTGTTCGTCGGTTACCCAGTGATGTCAGTTACTCAGTGGGTTCCACAAATGTTTTATGTTTTCAGAATATCTATCCTTTTGTGCTGTAATATTAGGAGCAAATCTCTTTTTAGCTTGCTACATCCTACACTTAGGCCAGAGAAGTGAAAATAGTTGTTTAAAGAACATAAAACTAAGTGAAATTATAATATGTATTA